TGCTTACAGGTTTCCGTGGCCCATCCAGTTCAGATGGTATGGTTTTTTTTAGTGCCTGGGTATACTCCAGAGCTGTAGCATGAGTTTTTGTGTGTATTTACTGCAAATCTGCATCTTTGAAGCTTTTTTCAAATAGACAAGATAAATAACGCCTACTCCAAGAATTCTATTGTATTGTAGATATCATATCTGCAGCCATTTGCATGAACACGTTGGCCATACCTGCATTTCAGACTCTATTCTGGCAGGATCTATAAAGTCATTACAGTGTGCTTTTGATATGAAGAAAGGATGTTGGGCAGGCAGGCTTGGCTCACTGAAACACTGCAGCACAGTTGAGTTTGTGTCCTTATGCAGTGGCTGAACAGCCTTTCAACATTATTCTGTGCTGCAGCGAGTGCCACCCTCCTGCATCTGCAGTACAGGCACTCAGCTCACATGTCATGTTCTGACAGAGGCAGCAGCGTGGCTCTGGTGGCAAAGAATAGAGGAGAGAACAGTCACTGGCTGGGGAGGTGGCCCAGTGAGTGGTGCCTGAGCAGGCAGCCTGTTTTTACAGGCTAAGGTTCCTTTGCATACTGCCTCTATAAGATTATCGGCATCTCCTCCTGCAGCAGTACGTGCATGTGAGAACATTTGCTGACAGCACACAGTTTATCTCAACACTTTTCATTTTCTGGAGGTGAATGATGGCATTGCAGTGGAATGTGCTTGATTCTTTGGTCAGGGATGGTGTCGTTCTATGATGGAAAGCATCTTCCCACACTGCTTTTGACCCTTGGGCACTTCTGCTTCTGCCTACCTTGTAACCAGCACAGTTGCTTTTACAGCCACACTGTGGACTCTAGCAAAGGATTGTTGTGGTTGAACTTCCTTTCATCTGGAGATGTTCTTCTCAGCATGTCAGTGTCTAGTTCCCCAAGCCAGGGCCAGATACAAGTGTCCTGGTAGGTGTGACTGCCATAGGAAATGTGACACTTCTAGTTTATCATGTATTGTGATTTCAACTAATGCCTTAGATTGCTACAATGAATTTCACCAGTTTTAACTGCATTATGGAGTACTTCAAATGTAGATGTTTTGGGGTTTGCCTCCTTCCCTCTCTTCCCCTATTGTATGGTGCTTCCCTACCTGTTCTATTTCAGATACACCAGTCTTGCCAGTACTGAATCAGATTAACTCATGGATGCAACAGAAAGTAACAACTCAGTGTTTTCTTTTGCATCAATGAATTAATGCAACTTGTTATTTGGTTCAGTGATCACAAGGCAGGAAAGGAGAGCAATCACATGTTTTAAGTAGTATTCTGCAATTAGCTGTAAGGGAGAAATTCCTGTCTCTGTGTTAGAGCTGAGGACTCCTGAGCGTGGGGGGATCATGACCTGCCTTATTTTGAACTGCAGTGAGATATTTATTACAGTGGTTGTTGTTGTTATTTGACCTGTTTAGAGGTGAAATTCTTTTTCTGTGACTACAGAAAAGCAAGGTAAGATTCTGTGGTTTGCAGGGAGCAGGTTTAATGTTTTACCCAGAGGAACAACACAGTTGTTGCATTTGAATTAGCAAAGATTTTTCTAAAGAAAGTAAATTCTTTGGGAAACATTACCACTAATGCAGTTATTTTCAGACAGGTTTGTTAGTATATAATCTTTTGTGTTCCTGGGAGTTTTGTGTTCCAGTCTTATTAACTTTTTGACTTCTGTAATTACAGTCTTCCTACCTACTAACAAACAGCAAGAATCCTGAAGTCCTTCCTTTTGTCTGGTTTTTTTTTTGTTGTTTTTTTTTTTTTTTTTGTAACAGGCTACCATGAGTTCTTTGCTTAAGCATTTACCTTTTTCCCAAAAAGTTTCATGTAATCTGCTGTTGTTGATAGATTAGAAGTCTGTCTCACTGGCTTTCTTGAAATTTCTTGCCTTTTGTTCTCTCTTGATCTTTGCTGTTCTGACAGCACCACAAGTTCTGCTCAGAAATGTACTCCAACATTTTTATTGAAACCGAATCTAAAACTCTGTCCTCCCATAAGCTTTTGATAATACCTGGATTAGAATAAACTGATTTTATCTCCAAGCAGTATTTACTAATACTCTGAAATGACAGTAGCTTAACATTTTGGTTTTCTGAAGCTTTTAACATGTATTTATATAGTGTTCTCAATTTTTAGAAGGGCCTTGACTTTTTTTGTGTGTGTAGTTGGTTTTTTTATTACTTAATTTTGTTAATCTGATATGCTTCTAACATTCAATAAAAAATGGATTGTGAGCACCAAAATGACTATAATAAGATGAGTCATTAAAAAAGCCCGACACCCTGCATTTGAACTGTTTGGAAAGAGCCTTCTTTGTGAAAAGATTATCAGGGATGGAAAGGTTCTGCTAAATCACAAAAATAGACCCACAAGGCTGAAATGTTATTATTTTACTGAGTGGTGCTATTAATCATCCTGATTTAGGGAATAAAAGCATAAACAGGGTCTGAGTAGCTGTGAGGTTGCTCTATTAATGTGTGTTTGATGGAAGATGCAACAAATGATAGTGCAGCAGCCTCCTGCTGCCTTCTCTCCTCAGTGTTTTTGGCATTTTTTTTCTTCTGCCTGCTGTACCTGTCTAGCTGTCAAAATAATAAATATTTTCCCTGAAAAGTCCTCCCCCTTTTCCTGTCTCTGCCTAATCCATCTCCCTGAGCATTCTGCAGTCCACCATGGGACAGTGGTTCGAGTACCTCACTCCAGAGAATTACTGGAAGAGCACTGGAGGATTATTAAAGGGCTGGTCACAGCAGTCACCCGAGGCTGCAGCACATGCTGATGCCAAGTGCTGGCCTCTCTCTTTGGAGCGCAGGGTTGCCAGAGGCTAATAAGGCATGTCCAGGCCTTGGTTAGGTTTTGGTGTGGAAATAATCCATTAGGAAGCTGGGTTGATATCAGGGATCTCTGGGAGCTTCTGTGATCCTCCCTTAAATAACTTTGTGTTTCTGCAGCTGTTGTGCTGAGGAGGAGAGATTCACTTGCAGAATAGGCTAATATCTGAGGGGATTAAAAACTTGAAGCCTACATGATATAGGTTGTTTTGTTTTTGTTCAAACTCCAGGTAACAGGAAAATTTGGCTTATAAATAGAAAGCTTAATAGTGGGAGTAATATAATATAGATCATTTGTACACGTGAGTGAATGACCTTCATAGTGAACCTATGAGTCATTCCAGTGAGAATAAATTGGAATACAAAACAATTAACTGCAGTGGGTTTATTTGCTAGTTGATATGCTAGGCTGACAAAATGGCCTTTTTTAAAATCTGGCATAGTGCTTGTTTTGGAAATTATAATAATTCCTATATTTCCATGCCAAATTGTTAGTTTAATTTCTATTAAAAGTACTAGTGGGTCATCTTCATATTGAGGAAAACTTGTTTTACATGGAAAAAAATAAAAAAGAAACTACAAACCAAAAAGTCTGAGGTAGAAAAAAAATCTTACACTTGCTTGTCTAGGGTATGTAAGATAAACGTTTAGTCCTGTGTTGTTTCAATAACTGTGGGAGCTTGGGGAGGGATAGGGTTATTTTCTAACTGGTTTAGGCATTGTTATGTCTTTGCTGATGGGAGTGTATGTCTGACCCTCAGTGGCTGCAGTTGTTCAGCATAAACACATTGTGATGTTTCACCTTTAAGTAATTGCACATAAACCAGATGGTAACTTATATCTTTTTATTATCATACCGATTACTTAATGATGCATAATGCATATTGCATTAACTTGGAGATTTGTCATAAATCAGCTTTGATTTTTGTGGGAGTACCTGAGGTGGAATACATACTGCATTTCTGACCTTTGCTTTGTCAGTTGTGGTCCTGAACAGTCACGCAGCTACAAATCTTTCCTTGTTTTCATACTGGTATTGCTGCCATCACCAGGGTCTGCATTTTCTGAGCTTATTCTGAGCAGCATTTCAGACTGTTACCTTTCAATATTGAGTCCCTACTTGCAGAACTGGTAAAATCATGGGTACTGTACAACACTGACTCTAGGAGAGCTGAGATTGATGAAGAGAGTAGTTGTAGTTACTAAACTTCTCTGGTTTTAATGCAAGTATTATGTTTATTGAGTATCTGTTTTATGAGTGTAGTTTTTTAGGTTCTTTGTCTCAAGAGAACTAGAAAAATGCAGTTTTTGGATAATTCTAGTAATAATTATTTTTCCTTTTTTCAGGAAAATGTGATAAAGTAAATAAAGATTGCTTGTATAGGTGTCCGGTGTTGTGTCCTGTATCACCCCCTGCCTTTTTTTTTTTTTTTCTTTGAAAGAGACTATTGTCTTCCTGATGGGGATGGAACAACAGCTCTTCTGAGTGACATAACAGTGGAACTTGAATTTGAAATAGCATTTTATCCATGACCCCCTTTCTCTGTTTTTCCCCTCTTCCTCCTGCTTGGTACAGACCGAATGCCTCTTTGGGACACCTTGTGTAAACCTCCATACTTTGCTGCCTAAATGTGCATCAGAATACGTGTTTGGAGTATCTAATGTGGCAAGTGCTAAAATTAACACTTGGAACACTTCAGGATTATGAGTCATCAATCCCTGGCTGCTGTTTTTATATTTCAATAATTAATATAACCTATCTGGAAGTTACTTTTCAGACAACTATCATGGTGATCCACAATAAATCTTGAATAGAAATAAGCGAGAAAATTCAGGTAGCTGTGTGCTATATTTTACATTAGGTGTACTGGTTTTTAATGCCAAGCAGCTAAAATAAGGAAATCAACTACTTTTTATATGTAAAATTAGTTTTAGGTCCAAAAGTGAAACAGAATTTAGTCCAGAAGGATCATAGGCATTACCTTTGGGGGACTGTTAGTTCAATAGCATCAAATATTTCAAAGGAAGAATTTTATCTGTAACAAGAAATGTATTTTTTTTTTAAATAAAGAATCCCTAATGATTAAATACAGAATCACTCAATAATGCTAACCTCTTAAATGTTGTCTTCTGTTTTGTAGAAGACCCTTTTGAGGACTTCTTTGGGGGCAGACGGGGTCCAAGGGGAAGCAGAAGCAGAGGTGGTGGATCGTTTTTCTCTGCCTTTGGAGGATTCCCTACTTTTGGAAGTGGTTTTACTCCATTTGATGCAGGTAAATATCACAACATTTAAGAAGGAATGTGGGTTTGGTTCACAAAGGATTGCAATATAATAAGTTGCCTTCTCCATTCAGGAAGTTCTGGGGCTGTGGTTTTTTAAATTAAGCTCTCTCTGTAAGATGTGAATGTAAATAAAACTGTAAGTACAGTATTTGGGCTACTGAAAGTTCATGTAAAGTGAACATTCCTCTAAGAAGTAGTACTTTCTGTGTTCGTTATTTTGGTGCTACAGTTTCTTTATAGCTTTAGAATTGCTTTTGTTCTGTTTGCTTTTAGGTGTTGGGAGTGTGATGGCTTTTAGATCCTGAAAATACACTGAAAAAATGTGTGCCTGAACCCCGTGGTACTACTTAGCCTGGGGTGGCCAGTTTGAATGCTGTCCTGGGTATCTAGAGGTTGCTGGGAGCTGCTGGCAGTCAGCATCCTTTAGAATGAATCTGTGTTAAGATTCTGGGTATTATTTGGGATGTTACTGACACAGGACTAGTTCTGTCTGCCAGCTCAGGCATCCCAACACCTGCATTAAAGCAGATGATCAGATTGATTAGAGTTGCTGCCTTTACCCTGCGTGGAGAGAAAGGGGAATGGTTGAGTTCAGCAGACAAGCTTGAATGCTTTTTAGGGGAAGAGTTGACAAATGGTTTTGGACAATGCTCTGCATTTGGAACTTGACCTGTGGGGTCCATGAGAGAGAAATAGATGGGGCTGGAGTCAGGTTTTTATTCTCACACTGATGTTTAATAACATCTAGTCACTGATGCTGTGTTGATGCGACCGAGGGCATCCTGAAACTAGGATGTAGTCTGAAAGGATGAGAAATTTGTATCCCATAGTTGTGCAAAAATACATTTTTAGTCAAATGCCTTCTTTTCCAATAGGTTTTACTTCGTTTGGTTCTCTGGGACATGGGGGCATCACTTCGTCGTTCTCCTCTTCGTCATTTGGTAGCGGCGGGATGGGCAACTTCAAATCAGTATCAACCTCAACTAAAATAGTTAATGGCAGAAGAATTACTACAAAGAGGTAAGTGATACAAATATATTTTTATGAAACTATATGTAGAGACTTAAATAGCTATAATTACATGTGTATAAATATTCTATATCTTTGCACACATACATATAGTGATACATGTATGTATTTTTTTTACTTTTGTTGTTCTGTTCATTATATTACTTGGATTTCTTAGCTTAAAAACATTTTGAAATGCTGTATTGGATTCTCTCACTCTTCTTGACATTATTGAGTTGCTTAACACTGTAGCTGGAGATCTTATAGGCCTTCAGAACATCCTGTGTAGTGCTGCATCTGTTATTGTGGTCCCTGTCTCCTGTCTGCCCAGTCACCTTGAACTTCTGGAAGGGAAACGTACTTGGTTTCTGCTGATTGTGACGCTTTGAACTGGGGTTTGGGAGGACTTGTAATTTTGCAGACATTATGAAAGAGTTTTCCCTATCATCTGCTCTAGTTTTCTTTCATTGGTAGTGTTTGAGTGAAGTCTTTGTAGTAATTTTCTTCTGTCTGTTAAGTGAAATAAGCAACTGAAGCTTGCTTTGGAGAAAAATGTTCCTGTTTGTTGGAAAGTGAACTTTCAAGTATTAATAACACAGTGTAGCTTCTGGCTATTTCATGCTTGTGATGGGGAAATCATTGCGTTTGGCAAACCTGAAACTTTTTAGCTATAGAATAACCTAAATGGAACATCATGATCAGTAAATTATAGGAGTACTGAACAAGTAGTTAAATGTAATTTCAGTACTTAATAAAAAATCATGGAAAAGCAAGGAAGGACAAATTTTTTTTTGTCTGGTAACTTGTGTCCCATATTTTAAAGTGCAAGGCTCTTGTCTGTCCTGTTGTACTGAAGAGATCCTGTCATCTTGACCACTTGAAAGCAACCTCTGTCATCACACGCTGGTGTGGTCATGATATTTTTCTGTGAGTGTATTCCAGAAAAATCTGAAAACTGCCTCAGAAGTTTTGAGAGAGTTGTGCCATGTGAGAGAGACCAAAGAAAGTGTTTCTGCAAAAGTTTGTTTTAACATTAAAAAATAGACTATATCAGGTATGCTGCTGTCATATCTTTGTTACCATATCTAGGAAGTGAGGAGAGAAGCAAGAAATGTGGTTAACCACGTCTAGGAAGACACAGTTACTATCTCTGAGAAGTCCTCTTGCTTTGTGGAATATCTGCCCACAAAGCAGCTGAGTCTAAAGAAGACTCATATCCCAGCATATCCAATGAAAATCTTCTCTGAGTAATATTTTGCTTCAGGCAAGAAGCTGTTCCCTCTGTTTTTAATATGGGTGTATTCTCTTCAACAAGTCTGATCTCCAGAAAGTTTTGTATTCATCCGTGTGGTTTCCTCGTTTGAATCACAAGGGGAGAATTCCCAGATGGCTAAAATTTAGGCATAAATTAAGTATGATTAAAATAATTCAAACATTCCTTGTCTTCCCATTTCTAAAACAAACAAGGATAAAACCCCCAAACCCACAAGGCTCTTTAATAATCCTTTTTTCCAGTCAGGGATACTTGAATTTTGCACCGTACATGATGGTCATAAACTTGGTGTATAGGAGGTCTACAAATTACTTGCTCTGATAAAATGAAAAGTGGGTTAAAGACTGTCTAGTGTGCCTTACATCATGCAAAATTGTGATTGTATCTAGAATATTATGCATTTAACAAACAGGTTGGGACTAAATACAATGCCAAGATTGTGCAGTTGATCTGTCAAAATACTTAGTTCTAGATAAGAGTCACAACTGCGACAGTGCATGAAATGGCAGCTGTAATTGTGGACTCTAAAAACTGGAGGATTCCAGCTTCCAGAAAGCAATTTTCCTGCTGTAAATAAGCAATATTGGTGGGAAAATGCAGATGGTTACTGGTTGCAGCTCCTGCACTGGTAAATACAAAAGCTTGACAACGGCAGTTGTATTATAGCTCTGTTATAGTTCCTCATCTAAAACCAAGGTCTGGTGTGTATTTGAAACTGCTTGCAGTGCTTCAAAATGGCTGATGCTGTTTTTGTCCTGCAGGATTATTGAGAATGGACAAGAGAGAGTAGAAGTTGAAGAAGATGGCCAGTTAAGGTCGCTAACAATAAATGGTAAGGAGCAGCTACGCTTGGATAACAAGTAATTCAACGCACGCATTTAACAGAAATTTTAAGCTATAACAGCCACCATTTGAGGATTGACAGGAACATTTTTTGAAGATTTCAAACGAATTCAACTTTCTGTATATCGGTACTCAATCTTAAGTAGTATAAGTAGCTCACGGAAGCTCGTATTTGTCATAGACTTTTGAGTTAATTGTTGGGACCACATCAATTGGACCATTTTTTGTCCTTAAAATTGTTGTAAACTTCTGTATGCACTTTTCTTTTCTTATCTGTGATCAAGGTGAACCATGATCCTTCAGTAGTGCTAGGGCGAGATGTACACTAACACTAGCATGAATCTTGCTTTTTCCAATTTGAAATGTGAGCCAATTAGTAGTTTTAAGTCTGCTGTGAAGTTAAAAGTTCCAGGATAACCTTTTTAATAATTTCAACTTCTTTTTTTTTTTTTTTTTAAATGTTTAGTAGTGAACAATGTTAATACATTTCTGGTAATGCATTTCTGGTTTAAATAAATTAAGGATGTTTTCTAGTTGTGCATGAATGCAGACAACTTAGTAAGTTTTGACAAATGTTTAAATGTGTAATGTAAGCAAAAGGTAAACAAAAGTGAAGCCAGTGAGCTGAGTCTTTTGTCATTTGCTAAAAAAAAATTCAAAATGAATAAATGCTGATGTTTGTGGTGCATTCTTTCATGAATGGCATTTGTAACCTTCTTGTGTCTGTGTGTGATTTGGGCAACTTGGGAAAACGGTGCTTTTTTTTTTTTCCTTACCATCTTTTTCTTCAGTCTTAAGGATGAGGGCCTTTTTTCTTTGCAGATGTTTTCTCCAGTGTGACTGAAAACATGATTTTTAATTTCTTTTCTAAACCTGTATTTGAAGCACTTATTTTTTTAGAAGCATTCAGGGGCTGACTCTCTAACTCCATCTTTTACCCTAGTATGCAAGTATTGTAGGTCTAGGCTTAAAAAAGTTTTCTTAAGTTTTAAGTTCTGAGATTGCTTCAAAAAATAAATACATAGGAAACAAAATACACAGGAATAAATACATAGGAAATCAATACACAGGAAATCAATAATAAGCCTCCAAAAGAGGCTTTCTGAATAGGATTTTTTGTCATTTTGTGATCAAATAATTAATTACTTTGAAGATTTGTACTAAATTATTGGCATTATAGTATCACACTTATTTTTAGTCCTCAACCAAAAATCAAGAGGTGGATTAATGCCCTTTGTTAAATTAATGGAGTGAAGCAAAGTGTTCCTTTGTAGCTAAGACCAGATTTTCAAAGTTTAGTGAAAGATGACTTGATTTTGGTGTGTCACTGAGAAAGCATGTGAGTAACTAATGGCACTTGTTAACAGCTGCCAGGCTCTGGGTAGTTCTGTGCATAAATCATGGATGTGCAGTTTTCATCTGTGCACCAGCTTTGAACATCTGGCTTTCACAAAACTCTTCAGGGTGGCTTAGTGTTTAAAAAAGAAAAAAAAAAAGAAGCATGGTGTTTTCAAATGATCACCTAATGCCTTCATGCTGAACACCATCTGCTTTGTACTAACAAATGTGTGTTGATTATTAAATACCTTGAAAAAATTTGCTCGTTTTTTATGAAGGAAAACCATTTCAACTTAAGCCAAACCAACAAGCTAACAAACTGCTACAACAGAATACGTACTTGTAGCAAAGTTAGTATATTGTACTTTTGTCCCTCTACCATTAATGCTAATTTGATAGAGCCAAACAAAATAACGTGTAGAAGAAGAAATAAATATGTGATTTGGTTTTGGGACTAAAGAAGTTATGTACCTTTCCAAGTTCTTTGCAGAGTTTCTGTTACTTCAGTGTTGTGTTTTTGATGTAGAAGCACAAACTCAGTTTAGAACTAAATAGTGTTTTCTTGTTAATGCTGTTTTTTCCTTCCCCATGTATGTTACTTCTTGATCCAGATAACTAAACAGGCAATTTATTTTAAAATCTGGCTTTGTTGTGATGTCTTGAGTTATTAAAAATGTTAATTTATATTTACAGGACACAGTGTGCTCCTTTAAATTATGTAAACTGTAAAAAGTGCTTCAAAATTGATTAACCAAGTCAAATAAAATTAGGACAATCTGGAGTTGAGTTTGAATGCCTTCTTGTGAATATCCATAGGTTTTACATTAAACTGCCAAACTTCACCTTCTAGTTTAATCCCAGGTCATCATCTTTAACATTTAAATTACCTCACTCAGGTGAAGAACACATTTAGGGTGGCACAGCTGCTAGTCTTAAATGAGTATCCATGTGCTTGTCTTAGATTTTCTTGCCTAGAAAAGTGTGGTCCTTCTCACAGTGTTACACACAAAACAGGTCACACCAGGGTTCCAGGATGAAATCTTTGAGTGCTGTAAATGTGCTCAAGATCTGGTGCTTTTGGACAGCAAAGATCTGTTCTGCCCTTGGATCCCTGAAACTGGTTGTCAGAGCTGGACAAAACGGGCACTAAAATGGCAGGGCTGCACTTTCTTGGTAGAAAGAGAAACTGTCAAAACACAAGGAATGAGTCAGCAGAAGGTAGGATTAGGCAGTAGAGGTTCCTGCAGTAGTGAGATACCCACACACCAGCCTTTGCATAGGCTGGGTGTTGATCTGGGTGGATATGTGGTCTTGGTCCAAGTATATCATTGGACTGGCAGTTCGAGTTCCAGATGTAAAAGACTCCTTTACACTTGACCTAAACCGAATGGTCTCCATCTCTTTCAGTACGTAGGAGATAGGTTGGTTTTTTGAAATAACACCACATCCAACTTCTTTTTTTGATGCAGCTTATTGCATCCAGCTTCATTTTTAAAACACAAAATAAATCTGCATTCTATGTTTACTGTCAAGTCATTTAAAATTCTTCCTAGTATGTATTATATATTCAGAATTTCTTCTGCTGAATTATTTTCTCTTGAAAACCCACTTCCTACGTTGCTTTGAAAAAATTTTACGTTGTTACTTTCTAATATGTAATTTGCATGGATATACAAGACCTGCTCACTAGAAGTGATGGATCATCAAGGACAGCGAATTTCCTTAAACTTCAGTTTTGGCCAAAATAGTACAAAATACTTAATAAAAGAAAAAGTTCTTAATTTTAGCAAATGCTAAGCATCAAATCTATGGTGGGAAGAGGCAGCTTTCAAAACCAGGTGCTGTTGGATTAAAAGTGCCATTTCTTCATATATGAGGGGTTAATTTTGAATATTTAGGGACACCATCCCATTTAAATTGAGCTTCCTCCAGTTGTTTGGAAAAACTAAGATGGAGTTTTTGAACCTGCTAAGTCATTTACTCTTTCATGCTCTGCTTCAAAGTTCATTGGACACAATAACTTTGTAATGCTTTCTCCTGGTGCAACCTCTTTTTGATCCCTTGTGCATGGCAGTACTTTCAGTGCATTACACTAACTCAAGTTTCTCTTTGGATTGCATGGCACCTACTGCTTTCACTCAGCTTTACTGAACAAGTTTGGGAGTTTGCCTTAGAATGCTTCACATTTTAAAATGGCTGCAGCCCTTGATGTTCTTAGTTCTCACAACACCTTCTTGAGAATCAGAGGCATTGTCCTGTGGTACAGGGGACAAAGCTGCTCTGCAGAGCATGTGTACATAGCATTTGTAAGATGGATGTTGTATCAACTTGTGATCAATTGATGAACTGAGTGAGAATGCTGAAAACAAGATTGTAAAAGACTTAACGACTTAAAAACGCATCATCTCTAAGCCCAAGGGTTTTGTATTTCTCGTCAGTGTTTGTGTTTGGCTGTTTTGTTTCTTTGCCTCCAGTGTTTTGGCTTCAGGTGTAACTGGAGGTTTGTCTTTTGTATTTAACTGTGCTGTGTTTCAGAACATCTCTGAGATGGTCCAGTGGTAAAGTTATATTTTGTTTTTTATTTTTGGAAATGTGAGTTTTATTAATGAATCTGTTTCTGTTCTGTTTGAGAAGTGAGCTTATTACTCATTTTGCCTGAGTTTAATCTGTGGTGATAACAGGATAGTGTTTCTAAAGGTGGTTGTGTTGCAAAGTGAATGCTGTAGCTGTCTGATGCTCATGGTCAGAGAATCTTTGAGATGTACTCAGTGTTAGTGCAATGCTTTAACTTAGTAATAGAATACTTGTTAACCTTTTTGTGGAAGCATTTCTTAGGTCTGTTGGAAAACCTGCCTCTTTGGTTGTGATTTTTCGATGTCTTGGTGTTTAGGCTTATTTATAAGTCATGGTGTTCTCACAGGGTAGTGGCAATATGGACATCTGTAATCTGCCAGTCAGCAGTTACCAAACTTTGAAACTTTGCCTTTTTGTAACATAAGAAAAGAAAGCTTGTTTGTACTGTCTGCTGCCTCTGGTCTTGTTTACTTTGGGATTGAATTGTGACCACAGCCTTGCTTGACATAGTACTCAAACAGTTTGGGTTTGTTGTTATTGCTTGTCTTCAAGTGGTTGTCTTAGGTACAGAACTTCTTATCTTCCTCATGAAATGCTGAAATAGTCCGTTTGTTGCAATAGTGTTGGAATGAAACATGTTTACTTTGTGAGCGTTGCAAACTGTATCTTTTGAATTTATAATTCTAGTGGGTTTATTGCTTGGTCTGCTTTGGTTTCGGAAAAAATGGCTAGAGTTGGTTGTTGAATGAAGTGCACTCCTGAAAGGTTAGAGGGGAAGGTGGTTGGTTTATACTCTGCTACACAGGTCATACCTTCACAAAACAGTGAACCTCACATTTGAGATGATGCTGTCAGATTAAAAAAAAAAAAAGAAATAATTAAAATCCTGTGATGATCAGAGCCATACCCTGAACCTGTGCAAGCTGACTGCTGATTCACAGTCACTGGAACTTTTCTGAAAACTCTGTTCTGGCAGATTCAGTGCTGCGTTAGGTGTTATCTTACTTAAAACAGCTGGTAAAAAGTTAATCAAAAACCCACACGAGTACCCTATGCCCTGTCATGCTTACCGTGGCC